CCCCGAGGCGGCCGTCGCCGTCGTCCACTCCCTGCCCAGGATCAACAAGATGGTGCTGTGCTACCTCATCCGCTTCCTGCAGGTACAGCTGGGACCCCCCCTGGGCCCCCTCCACACCTGGGGGCTCCTCTTGGGGTGGTTTGGGGGTGTTTTCGGGGGGTTCCCAACGGTGGGAGGTGCCCAACGTGGGGATTCTGTCTTGGGCGGAAACTGGGAAGGGCTCCCAGCTCCTCCCCACGGTTCATCCAGGTGGTTCCTCCACCTGGATCCTCCAGCTGGATCCTCCACGTGGTTCTTCCCTGTGGTTCCTCCACCTGGATCCTCCACGTGGTTCCTCCATGTGGTTCCTCCACCTGGATCCTCCAGCTGGATCCTCCACGTGGTTCCTCCATGTGGTTCATCCAGGTGGTTCCTCCACCTGGATCCTCCACCTGGATCCTCCACCTGGATCCTCCACATGGTTCCTCCACCTGGTTCTTCCCTGTGGTTCCTCCTCATGGTTCCTCCCTGTGGTTCCTTCCTGTGGTTCCTCCATGTGGTTCTTCCTCATGGTTCCTCCATGTGGTTCTTCCATGTGGTTCCTCTTGGTTCCTCCATGTGGTTCCTCCCCATGGTTCCTCCACTTAGATCCTCCACCTGGTTCCTCCCTGTGGTTCCTCCACCTGGTTCCTCCATGTGGTTCCTCCCCACGGTTCCTCCACCTGGATCCTCCACCTGGTTCCTCCCTCTGGTTCCTCCCTGTGGTTCTTCCTCATGGTTCCTCCAGGTGGTTCCTCCACCTGGTTCCTCCCTGTGGTTCCTCCCTGTGGTTCTTCCTCATGGTTCCTCCAGGTGGTTCCTCCCCATGGTTCCTCCATGTGGTTCTTCCATGTGGTTCCTCTTGGTTCCTCCATGTGGTTCCTCCCCATGGTTCCTCCACTTAGATCCTCCACCTGGTTCCTCCCTGTGGTTCCTCCACCTGGTTCCTCCCCATGGTTTCTCCATGTGGTTCATCCACCTGGTTCCTCCCTGTGGTTCCTCCCTGTGGTTCTTCCTCATGGTTCCTCCAGGTGGTTCCTCCACCTGGTTCCTCCCCATGGTTTCTCCATGTGGTTCATCCACCTGGTTCCTCCCTCTGGTTCCTCCCTGTGGTTCTTCCTCATGGTTCCTCCAGGTGGTTCCTCCACCTGGTTCCTCCCCATGGTTTCTCCATGTGGTTCATCCACCTGGTTCCTCCCTCTGGTTCCTCCCTGTGGTTCTTCCTCATGGTTCCTCCAGGTGGTTCCTCCACCTGGTTCCTCCCCATGGTTTCTCCATGTGGTTCATCCACCTGGTTCCTCCCTCTGGTTCCTCCCTGTGGTTCTTCCTCATGGTTCCTCCAGGTGGTTCCTCCACCTGGTTCCTCCCCATGGTTTCTCCATGTGGTTCATCCACCTGGTTCCTCCCTCTGGTTCCTCCCTGTGGTTCTTCCTCATGGTTCCTCCAGGTGGTTCCTCCACCTGGTTCCTCCCCATGGTTTCTCCATGTGGTTCATCCACCTGGTTCCTCCCTCTGGTTCCTCCCTGTGGTTCTTCCTCATGGTTCCTCCAGGTGGTTCCTCCACCTCCCCCAAAGCTCCCACCAACCACCCCGGACCTCCTCCCTGCCCCCCCAGGTGTTCGTGCAGCCGGCCAACGTGGCGGTCACCAAGATGGACGTCAACAACCTGGCCATGGTGATGGCCCCCAACTGCCTGCGCTGCCAGTCGGACGACCCGCGCGTCATCTTCGAGAACACCCGCAAGGAGATGTCCTTCATCCGGGTGCTCATCCAGCACCTGGACACCAGCTTCATGGAGGGGGTCCTATAGCAGCTGCCACCACCTCCTCCCTGCCCAGGAAAACCCCCCCTGTCCCTGCTCAGCCCAGGACAACACGGACCCCTGGGGAAGGAGGGTGCTTGGGGGGGCACCTCGCCCATCTCCATCCTCCCGTGGTGGGACACGGCTCCTCCTGGCCCTTCAACCACCTTCTGGCTGGTCCCCTGGTCACTGGTTGGAGGGGTGGGCCGTTTTTTTGGGGGGACAGCACCCCTGGAGCAAGCGAGGAACGTGCGCGGGGACGGGTGGGATTTCCCAGCCTGGGTGTCCTGCCTGGCTGTGGGTGGCAGTGGGGACCTCGGGGGGCTGGGGGGTGGAGGAGATGGATGGGTCTTGGTAGGGTTGGGGTTGGGTCTCAGCAGGTCCCTCCACATCTCCTTGGGTTGGGTCTCAGCAGGTCCCTCCACATCTCCCTGGTTGGGGTTGGGTCTCAGCAGGTCCCTCCACATCTCCCTGGGGTTGGTCTCAGCAGGTCCCTCCACATCTCCTTGGGTTGGGTCTCAGCAGGTCTCTCCACATCTCCTTGGGTTGAGTCTCAGCAGGTCCCTCCACATCTCCTTGGGTTGGGTCTCAGCAGGTCTCTCCACATCTCCTTGGGTTGAGTCTTAGGAGGTCCCTCCACATCTCCCTGGGGTTGGGGTTGGGTCTCAGCAGGTCTCTCCACATCTCCTTGGGTTGGGTCTCAGCAGGTCCCTCCACATCTCCTTGGGTTGGGTCTCGGCAGGTCTCTCCACATCTCCTTGGGTTGGGTCTCAGCAGGTCCCTCCACATCTCCTTGGGTTGGGTCTCAGCAGGTCCCTCCACATCTCCTTGGGTTGGGTCTCAGCAGGTCCCTCCACATCTCCTTGGGTTGGGTCTCGGCAGGTCTCTCCACATCTCCTTGGGTTGGGTCTCAGCAGGTCCCTCCACATCTCCTTGGGTTGGGTCTCAGCAGGTCCCTCCACATCTCCTTGGGTTGGGTCTCAGCAGGTCCCTCCACATCTCCTTGGGTTGGGTCTCGGCAGGTCTCTCCACATCTCCTTGGGTTGGGTCTCAGCAGGTCCCTCCACATCTCCTTGGGTTGGGTCTCAGCAGGTCCCTCCACATCTCCTTGGGTTGGGTCTCAGCAGGTCCCTCCACATCTCCTTGGGTTGGGTCTCAGCAGGTCCCTCCACATCTCCTTGGGTTGGGTCTCAGCAGGTCCCTCCACATCTCCTTGGGTTGGGTCTCAGCAGGTCCCTCCACATCTCCTTGGGTGGGGTTGGGG